AAAAAAATAGATTCGCTATTGAGCAAAACACAATAAAATATATTGTTTTTATAATATATTATATTTTTTAATTAAATGCATATTTAAAGATATAATCTTAGTGCAATTATTTGGTCGAAAATATTTTTTTCATTTAGATTTGAAGTGAAAATATTTATCGAGTGAATTTACCAAGAATCTAATAACTAAAAATTTGATATCGTTTTCATATAAAATTCAGTAATTATGAGAATTATATTTAAAGAAAAAATATTATTAAAACATTGATATATATGTAAATATATATATATTCACTATATTTGTTATCATTAAATTTAAGTGACAGTGGGTAATGGTTCTTAATATTTTTATATTTTTACTTTTTTAATTACTGAAATACCTATTGCAAAGTTAATTTACAACTAATATCAATTGGTCATTTAAAATTTAAATTTAATAGAGCAAAAGAAACCTTGAAGAATTATGAAATTAAATATCATCTTATTACGATGGAAGCAGCATTACATTTTACAGACATAACTTAACTAAGAGTAAAATACATTACAAGATAGTAAGCGTAATGAATTTGATGAAAAGTTCAAACAACAAACGTTGTGTTTAACGAGTTTCACGATTGTGTTCATCATTACAGAACAGTTCATATGGCACAGAAATGTATGCATAATTAAAGTAAGATATTAAAATACATTACAGTATTATGATTCGGAGATGCGTTATAAGTCTATCTAAAAATCGAGTAAATTGAGTACACTCCAACATTAAATTATAGTGAATCATATTAAATTTGAAATAAATAAACATGGTGTACAGAAGTATTTAAATAATGAAGCAAGTTTTGTTTTATTTAACTAAATTGATTATTTCATCCGTGCAGTGAATTATTTTTTGACTATTTTCAATTATTTGGTCTTTTCTATTTCAATAATATGAAATTTTTTAATATGATTTGATTTTCATATTTTTAACGTGTGAACTCGTGAAACTCATAGAAAGGTTTTCAAATGTCAAATAGTTATAATTATAGACCACACAGAGAAATGTAATAAAAACGCCGTTCAGAAAAACGTTCGACTGTACAAAAACAAAATATTAATCATTTCTGACAGGTTCAAAACTTTTATCCAAAATCCAATGAGATAAGTTTATTTTCCGTTGTTGTTGAGTATCGATTGCCCGTACATTATAAGCAATGAAAGCATGCTGCCGAATTTCTAATGACAGAGCTGTTCTCTAATGACGAATTAAAATAGATGGGAATCGCATTGTAGGGTTTACAACAAAAGTTTATTTGCAATATTTATTTTATATACATTAAGAACCGTCCATTTAATACGTATTGAAGTGTTCAATTGTTAAAGTGTCTGTCATTTCTTATTTCCCATGACCATTAATCTTGTGAACACATATTCAGTTTATGGAAAAAAAAATCACGAATTACAATAGAGTTAATATTTATAATTGTTTTCCAATTGATACAACTTGATAATGGTGTTATTCTTTTTTAACAATAACAGTAATGATACAAATTTATATTATGAGTAATAAAAATTCGAACATAATAAAAGTGGATGTAAATTATAGTTGCGTATTTAGTAAAGAAATTTAAATATATGATAAATTAAAGCTTATATTACGTACTATAAATTAAAAAAATAAAAATGAGTCCTGGCGATTTATCTTATATGAGCAAATGATGACAGTCGAAGTTGAACAAAGGAGTTCATTTTGCATATTGCTTTTTGAATAATCCACTAATTTCATAAAATTAAACATTATCTACAGATTTGCTTCGAAGCGTTTCTTATAATAGTGATTTTAATCACTGTCAGATATTATCTATATTTGTCCAATATAATTATGCCACGTCATACTCTGTGCTACCGTTGTTTTTTTCGTTCAATAATGATTTTTTCATATAAATGTACATATTAAAATTTTATTTGTTTTTATGAACCATAACAAATACCAAGTTTACTGCAAGACAAAAAATTATTTATAAGGGTAGATTTTAGAAGGTATCATTTTATAGTAAAATAGGAACCTACTATAATTTTTTTACTATTAAATGAAGAATAGTCTATTCTTTGGATTAATATATTTTTAGTTATATACTAGAAGGGTGTTCGTTGATTAAGTTTTTATCTGTACGTTATGGTAATAATAGAGCGTCACTGGACACTACCCTGCTCTTCATCTTTTCAAATCTTTAATTGTTTATATCTCTAATAATGATAATACTAAACTAATTATTGACTAATAAAATTGTATTTATACCAATTTCTATTAAAAAGTTAAAAAAACAATAATATGATTCTATTTAACTTTCGAAATTTACCTCTAAAATCTGTCTTTAGAAATAATCATTTCTTAAAATAAACTTGATATTTATTAAGGATCATAAAAACAGATCATAATTATTCAATACATTTTAATGGAAAAGTCATTGTTTAAAGAAAAAAGTGGAGTAGTATTTTTAATAAATAACACTATATAATATAGTATAGGTAATTAATAAGGAAAAAACATTCATTTTTATGGAAAATATTGAATATTTAATTACAATGACATAAATATCATAATGAGGAAATCGTCCAGTAACATAATCTCAGAATTATTATATATTATATATTATTTTTAATAATTTAATAATTATTTGACTATGATTTAAAATAAATCTTTAGTCTAGTATTTATTTAATTCACAATAAATATTTACAAATAAGCATAAATAAATGCTTTGAGGAAATGAGTGTGATAATATAGATTTGATGAGAGGCTTTGGGTGATGTAATGTATTGTGTGGAATTTTTGGCGAGTTCATTAATAGTACGTTTTTTTTAGTCACTGTGAAGGGCAGTATTTATTATGTACCAGAGAACACCTATAATAAGTGTCATGGTTATTATTTGTTAATTGATAGACCTGAATAGGACGTATAATTGCTGGTTTAGCAGGGCCCCATATTTGTATTCCATACTGGTCTAATTATTGTTTTATTTATGAGAATTTTATTTTTTAGAAATTTTGTTCTTATAATTTGTTTCCTGTTGAACCGTTCTTCTATTATGGCTTGTTAATGTTTAGCGATTTTTATCAGTTTTCTATTTATAATTTGCTGTACAGCATACTGTAGTTGTCATTTCTTCATGACTAAGTTTTTATTGACAATTTTTGTTATCATATCTATCACTTACGATAGCAAGAATAAATCTGGGTTATAACTTATGGTCCATTAAAACAGATTATTGTTGTCTCCAGTATTATGAAAACCAAATTAATTATGAATTTATATTTTAAATCTAAATCTTTAAATAATTTTAAAACGCAAAAACACTTGATCGCATAAAAAAATTGTAAGTATAAAATTGTTAACAAATTTGTTTATTTCATATAATCTCAAACTAAAAATAGGAGTTTCTATTTTAAAGTTTAAGTTTTTTATCCCCAAAAGGATGAAATAAATAATTATTTAACAATATGTTATTGTAGAGCTTTTTCAGTCAGACAATATTTTTTTGTATCAAAATATTCAATAGTTTCTGAAAAAATGAATGTCTTGTCCTTAATTGATTACTCTGTATAAGCGTAGTATTCTATTTAGTTATGTGCACTTGATGTACATTTATTTAAGCTGCCTTAACCACAATACACTATTATTATTATTACTGTCATAGTAACTACTCAATCCTTAGTTTCACGTTTGTCAAGGATTAAAATTGTGACCAAATGTCTTTATTGTTTTCTTCTTGACGGTATTTGATAAATGTACCTCAAAATAAATAAGCGGAGTTCACATCGATCATTTACGTTATATTTGAGTTGACAACTAACATTTTGTCTTAAAACTAGAATATATTGTATTAAAAAAGAACATGCACGTGTAAATAAAATACGCTCTTTATACTACCAACTATATCTAATGATACCCTAGATTGGCCTCTAGAAAATTAATGTTTCTTCAACGGAAAGTATAGGCGTCTACGTAATTGAAACTTCTAAATTTATGACCAATAAACCGAATAAAATGTGGTCTCAATAAAGTATCTAAAATAGCTTCCTTCCTATTCCACAATTACCACTAAATTACACCTTGTAAATTACGACCATAATGATCACGAAAAAGATTAAATATGAATTACTCGCCCTAAGATATGTACCCACTATTATTATTGAACACACATTATTAAATCTTTATTTTGAGTTTTTGTTGTAATATTATTTCCAATTAAAAAAAATCCACGTAACAACTTGATATTTACCTTTTTTTATTTGAAAATTTAAGACGACGAATTTAGTTAAAACTATAATGATGTTTTTTTGTCCTCACTTACAATGGTTGTGTTTTGTTTGTTATTAAAGTTACAAAACAATTTTGATTCTGGAGTCATAAAAAAACTTTTTTGAACAAAAAACTTCAAAGATAACAATCATTAAACATAGATGTTCCGAATAGCATAGTAGTTTAATTTCATTTTACTGTTTCGTCCATAAAATAATTGTTATTATGAGCAAATTTTATGTCTTCTATAAAGAATTTATGTTTTATTACCACTGCACTAGAATTCAGACAAGTATTTCGGGGAAGTAGAGAAGTAAGTGATCGATTTATAACGAAAATAAGTTAATAAATTATATTTAATTTATAAAGAACATAAATTTCTGTATAGTATTTACTTTCAAAGAAAAATATTTGCAATCTTATTGTATCAAATTAGAAATAACGCAAATATTTGTGATAATATTTTGTACGCCATAATTAATATTTTCAGGTTCTTAAAGGATATTAGTTGTCTTTAAATCAATTGAAATTCTTATTTTTAATATTTCCGTTATCATACCCACTTGACCACCATATACTACATTATATCATGACTATTTGTTGACTTAGTGAAAGAATATCATTCACCTTGCCTCATATTTAAGAATTTATCAATTACATTATAACATTATTTTGTTAGTGTTTACTACAATAGAAACTCAAGAGAACAAATAAATACTTACCGTTTATAAGCAGCGTGACTACAATAATATTGCCAACCATGTCCGTAAAGTACGTGTCTTTTGACAGCATAATATTACAAAATACTTTTCAGAAATATGAAGCAAATGTTATACATTGTGTTCTTCAATTGGACTGTAACATAAAACACAAATATAGTCAACATTTTATTTAAAAAAACGACATCAAATATTTCTACGAAAATTATACAATAAGTGCGTTCTATATTTTATTTTTATAAATTATAGTTAGAAAAATGATTTCGATTTGTTTAAGTATTAGCTTAAGAATAACACATAATTTGCTTTATTATTTTATTAAATACAATATTTTCGACGTACAATTAACTATTCGGCGAATTTATTAATGAATAAAATTTATTATATTAATTTTATTAACAGTGGACAGCTAATAGAAATATGATATTTTATTCTTATAAAATGAGTTGACAGACACAGGTTAAATAAAATTGTATAGTGCCTACCCTATGTGTAAAATTCATAACATCACTCTCTGTGATCGTTAAATAAATTATTAAAGTTAATTTAACACAATAACGTCTCACATTTTTCATTGTTTTATACTTATTTGCGATTTTCAAAATAGTTAGGTATACATTCAACTTCCTCTAGATATTATCAGTTCGATTTTCATAAATGCAATGTCTATTTAAACACATAAATATAATATCTATTTGCAATCCAATAATTTCTATGGCGGAGCAACTAATATGAAGATAATCTCAGTATAAAAATAATTGAGCATCTCTTTTTTAATCCCAATAAATATAATTGACTGATTGAAATAGTAAATAGTCAACATATACATATATTAAGTTTTTGAAGCCGTTGTAATCAAATTGTCATATTATTAATAAATATAATAATGATCATTGAAATCTATGTAAAATTCCGTAATATCAAAGTAATAAAGATTTGATCTCGCATAGAAAATTTGATAAGAACTTCATATTTTCAAAATTACTCAACTTGGCATTTGATGGTCCTGTTATGTTACAATGTAGTTGACAGATATTATTTTATAATATCACAAAAATATAAATAAAATCTAGGTAACCTCTGTCATAGCGATATAGAGCCACTATGATTAATGCATATAAAATAGTCAAATTTAATAAAATGTTTTACCAAAAAATGTTTAAAAAATATTCCTATGTACTATGACCATAGTGTTTATCATAAATATATTTGTTAATAATTATTTTAATTGTAAGGAAGTCATAGATTATTTGTAGAGTAAAATATTTGAAATTTCTCTACTCACTATGTAAATTTCATTTTCAAATGGTTTACTTTATATAAATTAGAGAATATTAAATATATCTCTAATAGATGTTTTATGCTTCTAAAATATTTATAGACTTGAGTTGGATTAGTTGAAGTTCAGAAACATATTTAAAATAATTGATTTTCTTTAAAAATTAAGAACTAAATGGCTACGTTTTTCATGGTAAAAAAAATATAAAAGCTTTTATATTTAAACTAGATAGAATAATTTATATAGCTTAAATAGACAATTAAAGAATTTTATAGAAAGTTCTTTATTCCAATCGTAAATGTCCGTTCTAGCGACATAAATTATAAAAAACGGTAGCACATTAGGGTCGTTGCACAGTGTGAGCGTGGCATAGTTGGGACTAGTATAGATGATATCTAACAGTGATTAAAATTACTATCATAAAAAAAGCTTCGATGTAAATCTGTAGATAGTGTATAATTTTAAGGAATTGGGGGATTAAACAAAAAGCAAAATTCTAACTCTAAAAGAATTAAGGGAAAAACTGAAAATTGCCACAATTTGTGTGTAAAAATTGTTATTTTTAAATCCCTCTGTGGTCCGGTCAAATGTTATATTTTCAAAAAATGTATATAAAATGAAAGAAGTAAACATTTTTCTTTATAGTTATAGTAATTTAAAGTTGAAAAATTTAAATCTGAAATCGTAAATTTTAACACCAAAATTGCATGTTTTTTAACTACGGCAACCATTTGCACATGGAAGACAAGTCGTCGGGACAATTTTTTTTTTTTAACTTATAGTGCATAAAATTATCTTTATTATAACATATGTTTGAAGCTCGTAGTATTTCCGGAACATTTTCAAAACTTAAGTAGAAATAGTTAAATTTTTGTGCAGAAGTTTCTGTATTTTTTGCTGTAAATTTTGAATTTCCTTCTGTGGGTAGGTAAAGGATCAAAGTTTCAAAAAATTTATATCAAATGAAAGAAAATATCTAAGGATTCAATATAACAAGTAATTGTTTTAAATTGTTCATTTTTCAATAAGTTATGGCAATTAAAAAAAAAAAAAACCCGGTTAGGTGAGAACTGAGAAAATGTGGTGACAGACACAAATAAAAAAACATCATAGTAAAACCAATTCCTTCTTAGCTTCGCATCGAAACTAAAATAAAAAATGAAAAAAATGTCGAAATTTATCGATTTCAAAAATTGTAATTTTTGGGGGATTTGCACTATTTATAGAGAACGAGGTTAAAAATTTCAATTTTTGAGGATGATGTCTTCAACTAGATACAATTTGTGATCTTTTGATGTATCGTTTAGAAAATCGGTCTAGTGGGAGCTAAGAAAAAGTAGTGACCGAAAAAAAAAAAAAAAAAAAAAACTAGTTTTATAAACAAATTTAAACTAAATAAATAAACTCATCATGAATAAATTCAACATTATTTACTAATTTTTTTTGGATAATGTATGTATAATATATAAGATAATAAAATTAATTTATACAATTTTCTAAACAATTAGAATTTATATTCTAAGTGTTCATTCAGTCTCAGTATAATATAAGATATAATACAACTTTTTATATTTTTATAAAAGAAATATTTAGGTTTACACTTTATTTATTGTAATCCATCTTTGAAAACCATTGTCAATTTACTTAAAGCAAAACTAGTAAAATATATACTATAACATTTAAGAGACAAAATATTTCCAAAACATAATTATATAACCAAAATATATAGTATGTTATATCCAAAAACTCTATGAAAAGAACTCGAATAGATCTCCAATCTACAGAAGTGTAATAATGTTACTATACAAGAAACAAGAGACCTTACTAGAGGTAGGAGAACATAGTGCAACAGCAAAAATTAGAAGAGGGGTAAGACAAGGTTGTTCCTTATCACCTTATCTGTTCAATTTATTTGTAGAAGAAATCATAGACAAGTATAAGAGAAACTCTAAAGGAATAAGCATAAATGGAGAAAAGATACATTGTATACGATTTGCAGATGATATTGCTTTAGTGTCTGAATCGGAAAAAGACATGCAAAAATCTCTAACCACCCTCACTAAAATATTGCAGGAGTATCAAATGAAAATAAATGCAAATAAAACAAAGTCAATGGTGGTGACTAAAGCAAAAGAAATTCCTTTAGTGAGATTGGAAATAGATAATAACTTAATTGAGCAGGTTCAACAATTTAAGTATCTAGGAAGTACGATTACTAGCGATGGTAGATGTTCAATAGAAATTAGACAAAGAATAGCTATGGCAAAGAGAGCATTTATGCGAAAACGGCAGCTACTTACAAACAAAAAACTCAATATAAAAATGAGAAAAAATTTTGTCAAATGCTATGTATGGAGCGTACTACTATATGGCTGTGAAACATGGACCATCAATGGACAAGACAAGAAGAAGTTGGAAGCTATGGAAATGTGGACATGGAGAAGGTTGCTGAAAGTCAGCTGGACAGAAATGAAAAGTAACGTAGATGTATTAAACCAAGTAGGGGAAAAAAGAATTCTGTTAAACGTCATAAAAGAAAGAAGTGGAAAAATGTTCGGTCACCTATTAAGGCACAATTCGTTTATAACAAATATATTTGAAGGGCGAATAAATGGACACAAAGGTAGAGGTAGACCGAGGAAAGCATATATAGAAGAAATGATAAGACAAGCTGACTGTAGTCGATACATAGACATGAAAAGACTGGCTTTTAACAGAAAAGAATGGAGATCCAGATTTGCAACGACAAGGCAAGGCCTTTAGTAGAGAAGAAGAAATCCAAAAATATAAAATATCTTTGAACATAGTAGTACTACTTAAAACATAAAAAATTCTTATTAAAACATAAAAACAAGCCATAGAAATGCATGAATCTTAAGAAGCCATAGAAATGTATGAATATTAAGAAGCCATAGAAATGCATAAATATCAAGAAGCCATAAAAATGCATGAATCTTAAGAAGCCATAGAAATGCGTGAATATTAAGAAGCCATAAAAATGTAGTATGACATTTTTTTTGTAATGCTAAAACTATGATCTCAATATAACAAATATTGTTACATTTTTTTTAAAAATTGGAAAAATAACTTTTATATTACCTTTAATAAAATTATTTATCGAATGGAATCGATAATTTATAATATATCTTCTTCTTCTTACTCGCTTTAATCCATTTCATTAGTGAAAATTTTGTGTTTCATATTTTACTTATTTAAGAATATTTTATAAGAAAGTACATATATAATTAACTAGTTTATTTTATTGATAGTAATGCAAATAATTTAGGTATAATTTTATCATTTGATTTAAGTTTTAATACTTCTTTTTCTTCTTCGCCTTAATCCCAACTACATGGTCTCGGCCACCCTTATCCTACTTCCACTTGACACTATCTACTACATCATCTATGTCACATGTATGTCATATGTCATATACATATGTCCTCATATCGCATTCAATAACATCTCTCTATCTCTTTTTTGGTTTTCCTCTACCTCTTCTTCCTTCAACATTCATTTCTACAGCTGTTCTTACAGTTTCCAATTCTTTTCTTCTCATAACATGACCAAACCATTTATGTCTATTTTCTCTCATCTTATTCACGATTGACTCTACACCTATACTCCATCTTATATGCTCACTTCTTGTCCTATCTTCTCTAGTCACTCCACTCATCCATCTAAGCATTCTCATCTTTGCTACTTTTTTCTCTGCTCTACTTTCTTATCAAACACCGAACACTCTGAACCATACATCATAGCTAGTCTCACTACAGTCCTGTAGATTTTACCTTTCAGCCTCATTGAAATTTTTTTATCGCATAAGACCGCCGGCACTTCTCTCCACTTTTACTTTC